CAGACTTGAAAAATAACCTTCCCAGTGTTGTAACTATTTTGTTTATAATTTAGTTTGAGGTTGTTTGCAATGTTTGCTAAATTTTAATGCAGAATTATCCTAAACCTTTCAAAAACACATGTAATTTTTAACACAGAAAAAATTAATATAATCTCAATTGGTTTAAACTTGTGGTCCATGATATTCTAGCAACTTTTAATTTACTATTACTTAGGCACATTAGATAGTGATATACTTATTACAATGTGAAATTTCTGATTTTATTGTAAAATCTGATTTGTTGTTCAAAAATTTCCTAATATTTTCTGTTTTCTGGAGTTTCTATAGTAATAAAATACATTTCAAAATGAAAAAAAAGCATTTCCTCCTGAGTGAAATAAAGTAAATAAATAAGTAGTAAACAACTTACATTTATTTGTTATAAAATTTGATTTACAGTTTATTGCATTTATAATCTAGAAAATTAATTATGAAATGACTGATTTTTTATGTATCTTCATTTTAATTCTTCACATATAATAATTTAAATGTTATTTAAAGAGACACATTTACACACATATTAAACAAACTTTTGTATTTTGTTAAAAAACTGTAGTAATTCTTATGGATATATTTTATTTTCCAGTACCTTTTGTATTTTTCCTCTGAAATAAAACATTAAAAAAAACTGCAATAAAATATGCAATTAGGGAAATTAGCAATTCTGCATGTTTCATCCCATAAATCTTTCCTGACATTAAGGAGAATGTCTACTATACTTGAGTGCAATTAATAATAACTTTTAATAATTTCAACAATGATTTTACACTTTTTATTATACACTTTATTTTCACATTACAAATGATTTTGTACAAAAATATTCCATTTTTCCTTCTTCCAAATATTCAGAACACTGACAAAGTCTTAATCTGTATAATTTAACTTATCAAGAAATAGCTTCTACTCTTCTTGGTTTTATTATTTGTATAGTGTTACAATCCATTGGTATTCAATAAATATGTATAAATTTACCAGAAATATGTCATTATCTTTTTTCATCTAATGGGTGACTTCCAAAATAGAAAGGAATAGGAAAGAAAAATAAATAAAAGATGCTAAACAATAAAACATGAGATAGTATAAAATCAAGGTTTTTCTTTTTAATTTTACAGTCCTATTTCAAGGCAGTGAAAACATTAGATTTTTGTTTTTTCCTTTTGCCAGGAATTCTTATGTCTCTGAAGAGTAACTTCCCTAAGATCAGAAAAAGGAAATAAAAGTACAAATATTCAACAAATATTGCAAACATTAAACAAACACTTCAGGTTGTTTTCCAGTATTTCTATTGCGGTGTTCTTTTAAACAATTGTTTCAATGAGATCTTTTTAAAGAAGTTTTTATTTTGCCAGCATCCTTCATTCAGTTTCCTGGAGAAAGAAGATGTGGGTGGCAGTGACTAATTGAACTAGCAGCTACTAATTACCAAGCAAGTTTGGACAGAGTATATTTATGATAGCCTAATGAAATCAAAACCATTGAGTACAGTCAGCGTCAGACAACCTAAGAGGGCAATTGGGTTGTATCCAATGGCACAGTGTGTAATCTGCCTTTCTAACATTATTACCATTTATTAGCCACCTACATTGTCAAGTACTGAGCAAAGTTTCAGTGCAAAGCTTTCAGTGCAAAGCTGACTCAAAATATCCCTAGCTTTGAGTTTCTTGCAGACTTGTAGGGGATATGGACACATGAACAGATCACTTCAGGATTTTTAGAGTGTAGGATTTTTAGAGTGTTAAGTGTTAACTTAAAATACCTAGCTTTCCCCACAGTTTGCCTAGTATCTGTAAGTGGTGACTCCATTTTTCCAATTACTCAAGTCATCCTTGACTCCTCCTTTTGTTTTATATTTCTATATTCAAAGTAGGGGTAAATTCTGATTACTCCACCACAAAAAATATATGGACCCTGATCACTTCTCATCAACTCTACTTCTACTCTCTGGCCAAACCTACCATCATTCTTATCTAGATTATTAAATAAAAACCAGTCTGTTCTCTCTGTCTCTACACTTGCACTTTTCAAGTCTATTTTCAACATGGCGGCAAGATTTCTCCTACAAGCTTAATCATGTCACTTGTACAAAACCTACCAATTGTTTCCCATATCACTCAGTAAAAAACTAAAGCCTTGAGAGCGGTTAATAAGCCACTACCAGACCTCTTCCCCCTCTGAACCTTTCTTTCATCCAGCCTCCCTGTTCCCCCAACTGCACTTCACTCTAGCCACACTGGCTTACTTGCCCTTCCTTGAAAACAGCTAGATATGTTCCATGTTCACTTTTGTCTCTGGGCCTTTCTTCTTTCCTACTTGCTGTCCTCTTGCACGCAGAATGCTTTTCTCTTATTTTTCTCATTACCTTTGTTTATTTACTCAAAAGTCACTTTCTTTGTGGGGCTTTCTTGACACACCCTATTTAAAACTATAATGCTCTTAATTCCCCCAACATTTTTTATTCTACTTCCTAACTTATTTTTACCATGTAGCTCTTTCCACCATCTCATATAGTGGTTTTGTTGCTTGGCTCCTCTGACTTGGATGCAATCTCCATGAGGGAAAGTTTTCTTTTGTTTTATTTACTATTGTTCCTCTAGCACCTGGAATAGTGCTCAACACATAACAGTCTCTCAATAATTTTTGAATGAATGGTTCTCCTTTTTGGAGTACTCTCCAATACTCTAAGACAAACTTTGGGATGCTCTCTTGAGTGTCCATAAAAACGATCACATACAGAAAACGTATTTGTCCACATTAGGCTGTGTGATTGATTCTGAGTTTAACACTACTGACAGGACCAGCAATGGAATTTACAGAGCCCAGTATGAAATGTAAATATGACATCCCTTGTTCCAAAATGATTAAAATATCCAGATGGCAATTGCAAAGTGTTAAACCAAGGGGGAGCTCTTCTAAGGGCAGGCTGTGTGCTCCTGAAGCCAACCCTGTAGAGGAACTATACACGTGTCTCCTCATCTTCATATCCCAAGAGTTAGTAATGACCCTGGCATGGAGCAGGTGCTCCATAAGTGCTGGTTGACTGAATGCACATATCCTTATCTAGAAGAATTTGAAAGTATATCACTTCACAAAATTGCTCTGAATTTTGAAAACATAATTAAGATGAGGAGACTGAAACAAATTAAATGTGTTTTTGTCCGTGATATGACAGCTTGAAGGGGAAGTCAGGATTAGTTGTTACCCTAAATTTTAACTAAAATTAAATGGCTCACTTTTGATCCAGATTGATTTTCAGAACTTGCTAGATTTTCTATCTCAAAAATTTAAAAAAAAGTTAGAGATTATCTTGATCTACTCTATTTTATCTTACCCAACAAGTCCTTATTTTACTAAAGGTGTCAAACGACATCCTTCAAAGCAATCGTCCTTATAACCATAAAGGTGATACATTCAGTCAATGGTGCATTTTCTGTGAATTAACTGTCTTAACTTAAAATAGGCAATGTAGTATCTAGAGAACCCTTTTTTTTCCTTGATGCAAAGACAAATATGTGTAATCAATCTATAATATTTATTTAATTACCAGTAAGTTCATTTTCAACTCCCGAGTAGGAGAGAGGTTTTTGCTATCAGTGTTCTTGTGGTATATGTTAGAGAAAGTAAGAAAATGAGCTTTAAATCCTAAGAGAAATTTCCTTAAAGAACATAAGGCATGTTTATTTATAGTTCACTTTTGAGAAAATAGTTATTCTATTTTCCTATTTTGCTGACTTAAGAAAACTCTACAGACCTCTAAAATCTGCAGTATACTGAATAGGTAGATGAAAAGAGATAGGATTGAATTACTAAATGAGAGTGAATCTTCTGTAGAGGTGGGAGCAATACAGGACCAACAGTTATTCTAGCCTTTCTTCATTTTCTCACAACCAAGACACCTTTGGCTAAAAGGACAATGATATAATAATACCTCACATCTGTATAGTAGTTTTAAAAAAAATTCTCAAAGGACTTTTTTTCTGTTCTTACGATATCATTGTAAAAAAAAATAGAACTAGGTTTATTTTTGTATCCTTCAGAGAACTGTGCAGGCACACACTGAACAAAATTTAAGGAAACAAAAGAAAATGAGGAGCAAATAGAGTGTGGAAATAAGTAACATTTGGAATACATTTTTTATGCCACAGTTAAAAATTATTGTTATTTTAATTGTTTATTACTGCCACCAAAGTATATCCAAATCTCTAAAACAGTGTGTATTATTCACTTGTAAGCATTATTGGAAGAAAGAAATCAATGATTAATTCAGTATAGAGGTGTCATGAAGATTTTAAATCTTTCTTTTATATCACCTATAAGTCAGTGTTAATTTTCTTAAAACTTGCAAATGTTAGGTACATGTTATAATTGCTTAATTAATTAATATTTTATGAACATCTTATAGGTATTTTTTCTACATGAGAAACTCAAAACATATGGTGGTACTTTACTAATTTTGAATTCAATATATGTGGTGATATCCTCGTAATTCAGAAAATAAGTTAAAGTTCTGAACTACAGAATATTTTGATATTTTGAAAAAACAAATTAATAAAACTTTCATGGAGTGATGTATTATAATTTTAATAATGTTATGCTACAAATAACCAATGACTTCAACAAGTCCCAGGTTTTATTAATGTAATTCAGAACTTTTATGGAATGAAAAAATACAATGCAGTTATTATTTTTAAAAAGATTTTATTTATTTATTTTTACAGAAAGGGGAAGGGAGGGAGGAAGAAAGAGAGGGAAAAAAACATCGATGTGAAAGAGAAACATCATTTGGTTGCCTCTCCTCCATACCCAGGCAAAGGACCAAACCCAGGCATGTGCCCTGACTAGGAATTCAACCAGCGACCTTTTGCTTTGCAGAACAATGCCCAACTGAGTCACAGCAGTCAGGGCTACAATGTTGTTATTTTGAGAATTAACTGGTTTCTTCTTGATAAATTAAAATCCAAAGATCACATTTCTGCATGTACTCTATTCTTGATATGTCTGAAGAAAGAGATAGTTAATGAGACTTGCAGAACCTGGAAGAAAAGGATATAAAAAGAGCTCAAAATGTAATTTGTAAAGGCAGCACTTGCTATGTAATTACCAAAATGAATACTGTAAAAGAAAGGGATCAAGTAGGCTGAGAAATTTCAGAGTAAGGTGCACATGGTTGTGAATGAGAAGTCTGCAGAGTAAGTCTTCTAGAGTAACCCAGTTGCCACCAAGTTCATTTATAGAGGGTACTAAGGAAGAGACTGTTCAACTTAGTAAGATGTGCTGTCATTGGCCTAGCTGCCTTGATGAACTACTAATGTGTTCTTTTGTTCATCATTTTTCTAACCTTATTATCAAGTTTAGAAAACGAACTCTTTTTGGCATAAGATCATGATAAGTGGTGTGTAAAGGGTAGATAGGAAAATGGGTTACAGATACCATTCCCCCTCAGCTTTGTCTTAAACTCATCAGCATGAACACAACAGCATTTCAAAATAACTATATTAATGCTATGTCTTGGCTAACTCCTTCACCTTCCAAGGGACATATATGCATAACCCACAGACAGAGACAACAGTGTGTTGATGGCCTGACATAAAGGGTGGAGAAGGCTGGATGGAGGGGGGGCAAAGGGGGAGAAAATGGGGACATCTGTAATAGCATAAACAATAACAACAAACATCAAAAAAAGAATACCTTGGTTTACTATCATTCTGAGACTTAAACTGTCACCAATTGAAGATGATTTATGGAAACTTAGGTCAGTGCCTTTGTGGATGGATATGAAATTAAATTCAGTAGCCCTGGCTGGCGTGGCTCAGTGGATTGAGCACTGGACTGTGAAACAAAGGGTCAGTGGTTCGATTCCCAGTCAGGGCACAGGCCTGGGTTGCAGGCCAGGTTCCCAGTGTGGGGCATGAAGGAGGCAACCACACATTGATGTTTATCTCCATCTCTTTCTCCCTCCCTTCCCCTCTCTCTAAAAAAATAAAAAGAAAAAAAAATTAAATTCAGTATCTTGCTTTGGCCAAACTATACATTACATATTCATTCCAGTATTATAATCTGCACTGTAATAATCTATCCACTTACAGTTTTCTTGAATCCATAGCCTTCACTTGCTCTCATCAATTGTCACTGAGACTGGAAAATGAGGTCCTGCTTCTGAATCTCAGCTCTGCAGTTGGTACCATGAAGGTCATGAGACATGTCTATTTTGCTTCCCACTATATCTATAATAACTAGTACAGTAGTTGAACCACTGTAGATGTTCTCCACCCTTCAAATTTACTGAATTTTAATGAATGAATGAATGAATGAGTCTATCAGTAAATAAAGCTACAAATGTCAAACATATGCCTGGATTTCAGAAGTTTGACAACTTGCCAACATCGTGCTCTCACCATGTGAGATAGGAAGTTGTTTATTTTTCATATCACAAAGCAGTGAAATTATATGATACCTGCCACTTATTAACAGGCTCTACCGACTTGGTTGATTTAATGGTATCACCTAGCCGGACATATACCTCTCTTGGTGGTAATAGCCTCAAGGTCTTGGATCCTATCAGATTAACTTTTCAGATTAGGTCTCCAGCTGGTTGTTCTGCAGTTTATTCTGTATCATTTGTACTTAATATTTTTTATTTTTAAACACAGGAACAAAATCTTACCTCTGAAACCAAAAGTCCAAAGTTAATTCCAATTAATGTTAAAACATTAGCTTGATACCATGCGTTGATTTTATTTTCACAACCCTAAAGAAAGGAATTAGATTGATTTAGAGATGGACATGGTTTTATACAAAATTCTATTAACAAGAAACAGAGACACAAAAATTAGAAATTTACCAAAATCTAAAAGGCAAGTTAATGCCTAGCTGGAGACTGAACTTTTTAAGTCCAGAAAGCTTGATATGATAGCAAGACACCTTGGTTGTTACTTTTAAAGTCCTAAGGTATAATGCAGTCAGAAATAGATTGTTTTCAGCGGTATTTGATCTTCTGCAAATAACTGTGATTCAGCAGGGTATCCACTGCTGCCTAGAATGATTAATACCCAAATAAGATAAGCTTTTCTTTTTTTAAAAAAAGCTGTATTTATCTATAAATAAATTATATAATTAAAAGCTACATCTTAAAATTAGAATTAAGATTATCATACTAACTATACAAACTATTACAAGTTTTGGGGATGGAAATCCTTAGTTTGTCAATATTGCATCTATGTAAATACTAGTTGCTTTAGGTGAACTTGTACTATTGTTCTGCCACATTTATCTGAATACCACTTTTGTCATTGCCAAGGTGCCCTCCCTTCAATTTTTGCCAATCCTCACAGCTCTTTAATACTGGTGTGGCAGCTCTCCTACCAATCCTTTAATCCAGAGAGTTCCCAATAGTAGCCCCTGCCTCTGTGAGAATTTAGGAAGGAGGGTTCCAGAGAAAGGTTGATGATATCCCAAGTTCTAGGGACACTTAGATCACATACTCCCAGAAAGTTTATTTATTTATTATATACCTCAGATAATACTGCATTCACCTAAATGTGAATTTAATTTAGTGAAGTTGCTTATGAATTAATCACCATAAATAACATTGGTTTTCTACAAAAATTTGCTCACCATTCTAAATCAACTTGCAAACATAAGGCACTGTGAAATCTTGCAATAGATTTGACTTATTTTTACCTCTAGGTAAGTTGTATTCAATGGCTCATCACAAAACCAATTTCTTAATGTGGAATTCGTGCAAGAGCATGGTATCTGTCCTGAATTTTCTTTATTCTTATTCTTTATCCAGTCTGTGTAATTGTGTTGGCCACAACACTGTAACTATGAAAAACATTCTATGAATTATAGAATAAATTATTCAAAATGTAGTTAACTATATAATTCCCATATATGTTAGTGTTTTTATGATGAATTTATTAATTTATTGCCCCTTAAAATGTAGTGAATGAAACAAGTATTTTTTTTGTTTAATCTATTACTTTTTGCTGCTATTGTTGATGTTACACCAAAGGTAAAGGTCTGCACCTACACAGATGGGCTATGTTTGGCTGGAATTGTTATATCTGAATTTATTAATAGGAACCCAAGATGAAAGATATGTTTGATTTACTTAAGCTACAAACCATGCTTCAGGCCAGAACATAGAAGAGAGAATTACTTTAGCCATATCGTCCTCCTAACTATAGCATTTATCTTTATATTTATCCCCAATATGCTGCTATATATGTTTAATATACATAAAGAAATTCAGGGTTATATCTACTTTCTTTAGGATTAATGTGAGATGTTAACTTTCAGTTTTGTATTTGTGTGAAAAACTGCAACAAAGAACCAAAAAAGGTAACAAGGAAAATAATCATGGAGATGATAAAACATCTAAATAATATTTCATCTCCCATCCTATCAAGTTGAGTTGGGAGAATGTAAAAGAATCTACTCATAGATTTGATACCTAGAAAATAAGAGAATGTTGGCATGAATATTTAACAAGTTTATTTTTCTAAACTTGTTATTGAAAATTATAATATGTACCAGCAATCTTGGCATGAATTGGAAATGGTGAATGACTAACATAAAGCTTTAGAGTTTGGATATTAAAACTTCAACCAATCAAACCTACATATGCTATATCAATTATATTCATGGATAGGTGCTGTAAGCTGGATTCTCATTAATTATAGTAATGTCATACATAGAACTATTTACCTGTTTATCAGTTTATGACCAAAAGAAAAAGGTTTGATACTTTATCAGTTCTAATGCAATCTGCAAAGGCAGTACATGTCAAGTCCCATACCTTAGAGAAAACATTTATAATACATTTCAATTTTTCTAAAATGAATTTGGTTAGTAGAGGTGCTAAAAATAATTAACTATTTCTATGTGCAGCATCTAGTGTAACAGTTAAGAATACAAAATCTAGTGCTAGATTGTCTGGGATTGAATCTTGGCTCTGCCACTTATTAGCTGGGTGACACCAGCTCAGGCACTGAATTTCTCTGTCTTTCATCTATAAAATGAGAATGAAAGTGTGACCTCATTTGTTGGGAGAATTAAATTAGTTAATATATTCAATGCACTTACAAAAGGGCCTGATGCTATGTAAATGTTTGCTATTGTCTCTATCAAGCACAGTATTCCAGGTGCTGGTCTATTCCTGTAAATTATTTGGCTGACCATACCAATTTCCTTCCTTGCCCAGAAAGATCTGAACTGTTAAATAATAACCTTAGCAACATTAACTAATAAGTATTAGTTGCTTACTATGTTCCAGGTTCAAGACTTTCTAAATATTCTCGACATTACTTCATTTATTCCTGCCAACCAGAGGTAGGGGTTATTCTGCCCATTTGAATAACATGAAAAGTGAAGTTAAGAAAATTACTTATTCAGGGTCACAAGGCTACTGTGCAGCAATCCTGACATTCAGGCTCAAACGGGCACCATCTGCCACTCTGCTTCCAGCCAGCAGGGACTGTGCTCAGACTTGCTTCCCATGGTGCATGAGGACAGATGACTTTCCTTGGCAGAAGATCACTAACACTTTTATAGGGAAACCAGGTTAAAATGCACATCAATTAACTCAGAAAATGAGCTATAAGTTACAAAAGGGAGATAAACCTAAGACCTGTAAATGTGGGCAATGCAATTATATCCAATTTGTTTGGAAGAAATATAAGAATGTCTCATTCCTCTTTCCCTATCCCCTACACTTCCCTATATTGCCCCCTACCCTACAGTGGGTAATTTTTAGTTTTGTGTTTATTTGTCTTACTGTTTTCTGTAAAGTGTTCAGAGCAGTCCACTTAGGTATGTCTTCAGGTATATCTTTAGATCCATACTGAGAAATGATTAAATCAATTTCATCACGCCATATTTGGTGAACCTGTTGAAAATTGTATTAAAAGTGAAATTTTGATGGAAACTTTCTGTCTTCTCATAAAAGACTATTTAAAGTCAGTTTGTTGATTTCTGCTTGTATCTAAATGCTTTTTTCATTCATTAAGGTATTTTTCAAAGTCTCAGTGAATGTTGATGCACTTGGTACTACTTTAGCATTTAAAAGTTCATACGACTTTTATAACTAATTCCTAATTTGGTCCTCAAGAATGTCAAAAGTTAGAAAGAACAGATACTATTCCAATGTTACAAATAAGGAGACAAAACTCAGTGAATTTATTTGCTTTGTTTACGTGAATAAGGAAGAGGAGCTGAGATTTCTAAATATGCTTTATTTAAATTCCAGTCTGATGATTTTTCATTGTTTTATGCAGTCTTTGAATAATGAAGACTAAATAACTTGTGAGAATACTATAATAATTAAATCATCTGTACAATTTAAACCTTTATGGGTTACTTATGTATCTATGCTTTCATATACAAAAGATTAGAATACTATAAAGTATTATTTAGAGCTATACATTATGTAACTTATTCTTTAAGTTAATTTATATTTAGAATAGAAAATGATATTTTTCCATTTTATATTTTTGTAGGGAGAGGACAGACTCAGTCCTCATTTACCCTCTTAGGTAAGCATTATTTAGGAGATCCAAAGGGATTATGGATCACAGAGTCGAATGAGTTTCATAAATAATCTGTGTGGCCACAATATAAATAAAATTCCCTCACACATATTCAATTTGAAGTCCTAGTACATCTCCAATACTGAGTTAATCACTGTAAATGACATAAGGGCTTTACAGGCTCAGAAGAGCTTAATCAACTTTGTAGATTAGAAGATAAATCAATGTAAACACAGCTGTTATCTCTGGAGTGAATGGGGTGGAATCCAGGCTCTTTTCACAACAGGATGATCTCCCATGATACCAAGACAGACCTGGACTGTATGGAAACACAGAGGTTTCTTAAAGGATTAAAAGTTTATGGTTATAGACTGTAATAGGTAGGTTTTGTTATGAGAAGTTTTTTCAGGCAATTTATTATGTGCTATTTTGAACTTACCTAATTAATTTAACTATATCACTCATAATCATACCTATGCAAAACACATAAATTATTCTGTTGATCTTAATAAAATTGCTAAATTTCAAATTAGTGCAAGTTGAAAGATATTTCTTTATAAGAGCAGAACATAGTAAAGTGGTGGGGTCAGCAGTGGTAGCCAGGGTGGCCTGGGGCCGATTTCGTATTTCCCACACTCATCATCTTCTCCTCTTCCGCCACATTCCTTGTTATTTGCAATATTCTTAGTCTTCTACAAACAGAGTAAAAGACAAGTTCCCAAACCCAGTCTTCCATCTGATACCTGGCCCCTTCCTGTATAGAATGCTGGTACTTTCCTTGACTCCTTTTCCCCCCCTAAAGACATTTACCTTTAGCTTTTAGCTTTACCTATATAGGCTCCTTGGTCTCAATAATCTAAGGTATCAAATTTTCCTTAGATGTCAAACAAAAGAATGATTTTTCCATACCTCCTCTTTCTTTGTGAAGGCGAGTGCTGAAAGTGCAACCTGAACACCACAGGCCCACATTAACAGTACTGCATACTGCAACAAAAGAAAGGTGGAGACGACAACTTTGCTTCTGATGTATTTGTTAGATGGGGCAGTGGTGGGAAAGTGTACCTCAGATGAAATATTCAGTCTTAACATATACATAGGTATTGCTAAAGTTTCCTGTTCTCATATACATGAATGAGTTATTAAAACAAAAAAGCAAAGAAAAAATATCAGTGAACATTTGAATCAGTAAAAGACAGGAAGAAGTGACAATACTTCCGAAGAACTCTCACAGATTCTGTGGTCTAATGGAGTTGTTGTTTATACCGTCTTCATTCAGATCTAAAGCTGACACAGAAGGAAATTTAATTAAATTCCTTGACCAGTATAGACTAAAAATCAGTGTCCAGAGTGACTACCCAGATTGTCAGTGCTACATAAAAGGTAAGCATCTCTGCATTCTTCCTGGCAAGACACAGTGATTGCAGTTAAATTTCCTATCTTCTTGACAGGAGAATGCTTGTAAGTTAAAATTAATTATATGTAAAAGTAATGTTAAAAACTATGTTCCATCTAAGTGTGTAAATTGTGGTCCATACCTACCACACGTATGGTAAGTGGCTTATGTTAGGTCTGTATTTCTGATCATAATTTATCTTTTTACATAACGTGCCTTGGGAGAGAGAGAATACTAGCCAGATGCCACAGTCAGCAGTTGCATCTGTCTTTGTTAAGTAATAAATTGAGGATTCAGTTGTCAGTTAGTTCCCTACATGGCATGTGCACAAGGAGAAGATGCACTGACTACAGGACATGTTTCCTTTTGCTTGCTGAGCTATCACGCTCATTGACTTTAATATATTTTATTCTGATATTAGTCTTCATATTCTTAAGTTTGGTTAATTGTAGTTCACCTTAGAAGATAGATTCCTATTGATCTTGTGCTAAAAATTAGTATCTAATTGTGTAAGTGCTGAGGTACAGATTTGATCCATGGAACTCTCCCTGAGAAAACTCTACCTAGAAGGGGGAAGTGCTGTCAGGAATGTGTGTAAAGGACACGTGGACAAAACCAAAGCGGGTAGGATTGAGGGTGGGAGGTGGGGATGGTGGGGTAGGGGGTAGTGTAGTACAAATGGAGACAACTGTACTTGAACAACAATAAAAAAAAGAGAAAAATAGAAAATTCTACCTAGAACACTTTCTTGGAAGGGGACACTTCATTTGTCTTATGCCAAAGGGCACACTGTACAGCTATGTTATGATGACATTAATCATTCAACTCATTTGTGTGACTTGGACAGTCAAAATCAAAGATACACATTCAAGCTATTGAAGTGAAATACATACCAGAATTAGGAGCCATCTGATTTCATTGTGAATTCCCAAATAACCCAAGAGACAAAGAAAAACAATAGCCGATCCAGTTCCAACCAAAATTCCAAAACTGTATCCTATCAAGTGATTATTTTCATCTGTAAAAATTATAAAATAACTTATTATTAAATAGTATTTGTTTTTTATATAGTAATAAATGCAGCAATCTAAGTTTTTCCTAAAATGCTGTTGCCAACCACTAGAATTTTCTCTCTTTCTTTTTAAACTTTATTCTAGACCCTCTCACTTGAAGAAACATTTCTTTAATGATGTGATGGAGAATTTCTTCAGTTTCAGAAGACCTCTTTACCTTTACCTTATCTTCATTGTCTTCTATAAAAGAGGACAATTTTTTTCCTAAGGTGAATGATTCTACAACTTATGCACATCCAATCAGTTATGTATTTATACATTCCTCAAAAAGTCCTTAAGTAACTAAAATGTACAGGTTAAGTTACCCTGGGTTTATTGCTAATATGGCCCTATCAAAGCTGTATGTTGTTCTCTCCACATCTAGGTTGAGCTGTCTGTGCTGGAGGGTTATATATATTCAACAGAGTAACTGTTACATGTTTAATGCTGTGGCACAGACTGTAGGACACTAGTACTCAGCAAATGTTAGTTTAAAAGCAAGAATAAGTACATTAAATATGCCCTATGTTCTATGGGAGAGGCAGTGGTGTGCAGAAGCCAGCCTGCTCTGGCTCATAAAAGGCAATTGTTAATTTTTTGCAAAGGATAAAAACCAACTCAATTCACATGGACACCTTAAAATTGACCACTGTAAGAGTAGTTAAATTATAGAAATCAACAAATACCATAAACCGACACTCTCCATCCCAAAACCAGTTAAACATTTACTAGCACATACTTGGATATAAGAACAGCTAGTTCAGTAGGGGGAGGATTTTGGAGTGTGAAGGGATATTCAACCCACAGTCCAGGATGGCTACGATTGCAGCCCAACACAAAATCGTAAGTTTACTTAAAACATGACAAGATGTTTTTTTGTTTTCATTAGTGTTTGTGTATTTAATGTGTAGTCCAAGACAACCCCTCTTCTTCCAGTGTGGCCCAGAGAGGCCAAAATGTTGGACATTGCTAGTAGATAGTCAAAATTACTATCTTGAGAAGGTGACACCTGAGCTTAGGCTTTAAATGATAATTAGAAACATCTACGGTTGGGGAGTAGAAGCATCTGGAGACTCAGAATAGCACATTGCGTGTAGGAAGCTCTGCTTTGCTGGTGCTTACAGTTTGAGGCTAGTAGACTGAAAATGTTTGCAGAAGCCACATTATGGGCACTTTGTGTGATGTTTTTAGTCCTCCTCACTGGAGTTAAACTCCATGAGGACAAGACTTTTATCTTTCTTGTATATTACTGTAGTCTCAGCTCATGGGATAGTGCCCAACATGTAGAAGATGCTCTACACATGTATTTGTCATTTGAATAAATAATAGCAAGGCGGAGCCAGAGAAAGGTTTTTAATGTTACATGGTTACATTTGCCTTTTAAATTAATTATGTCAGTGGCATTTGGAAGATGGATGAGGAAGGAGATCAGGGCTCAAGTCTATTGGGGGCTATTACAGTGGCAAGGGATAGATAAGGACTTTAGGTGGTATGATGTTATTCCAAATGGAGAGGTCAAGGCAAAATACTTTAAAGAGAGGTAAATTAACTGAAAGGTGGAATAAAAAAGAGGGGAGGGCCCAACACTTCTTGCCCCCAACTGGTTATTTTCAGTCCACATCTTGAAACCTTAAATGAGATTTCACTAAGTGTTAATACATGGATAATGTGCGCAACTTTAGCCCTCCCCCTTTGAAAGAGAAAATCACTTGCCTTCTACTCTTTTCCACATCTCAAAGCCTAGAAAGTAAACTTAGTGTTGAGCCAGTGTCCACCTGGCAATCAAAGACAACTTTAGGAAACAGCAAAGAAATAATATAGAAAGAACCTGGGTTCCTGCATGACTCAGAAATCTCACTCTGGTTTGTTATATTAAATATCCATTTTGTTTGAAAAAAATCTTCAAGGATAAGTTTCTGACTACCTTTGCAGGGGTTTTCCATAAATAAGAACATGAGGGTTGATGAAATTATCTGTCACATCCAAACTCAAGAGGTAAAAGATAAAGAAAATGACTTGCTGCACACGAATACTGCATTATTAAATGAGATATTGTACAAAAGGTGCTCAGCCCAGTGTCTGGTACAGCCAACACCACATAAGTGGAAGTTACTACTGTCTTTATCAGGGGGAAGGAACAGAGAGATAGAAAGGTCCACATGCCCATTTATTCTGAACAAACCCCTAAAGTACTCAAAATCATGAGTACTTCTCCATAAGCAAAGTGTACAAAGTGAAAAGAACAAAGATACTAAGCACTTAGAAATAGCTGAAGTTTAGCTAAATTATTCAATACTTTGTAGCACTGTATTACATATTAAACCTTTTCATTTAGCTTTATTTTTCCTATAGATGTATTTTTCTTACTTGCTATCCACTAAGAAATAGGTTGGCTCTATAGCACATGCTTTTGTTATATATTTAATGTTTAACAGTGCTGTTCAGTAGAGCTTACTGAAATAAAGGGACAGTTCTATATTTGCACTGTTCAATAAGGTAGCCAATACCCAATAATCACATATGGCCATTGAGTATTCCAAATGTGGCTTCTTGCCTGCCAACTAAGCATATTTATATGAGAAGAAAAATATCCTCAGTCTATTGAATGTTAGTCCACAGTGACCACAGCATACCATAATATGGTAAAATAAGGACAATGTAAAGATCTGAAGTTTGTTTTTAAAATAAAGTTAAACATACTCAATTCTTTTATTCATATTTAGAAATTTTTTCAATATATATTTAAATAAATATATAAAAATTAAAACATTATATATTAAACTTAATTTAATAAATACTGGAGACATGCAAAAAATATCTGAACAGCTCCACTGCGACAAGTATGGAGATACGTTTGGGTCTTGCAGAAATCAGAAGTACATGATGCCTCCCTCTTATCTCTGTCTCTCTCTGGAATCACACTCTGCTCGCTTTTTCCTTTGGACCAGCTGCTGCTGTGCCTCAGTTCTGTGTTTCACTATCCTGGCTACTTGGGGTGAGACTAATATTATAGTCTTTTAGCTTCAAATTCAAAATTCTATGGGAAATACGTGTATTGAATAAAGCTGGCATAAAACATTGTGTAAGTGTAAAGTGTAAACTGTGTTGGCTTGCTACATTTATATATTACAGCATGATTTCTGTAGCAGCATTAGCTAACGCCTTTAGCCTGTCACATATTTATCATTTCTTTTTGTGCTGAAAATACTTAAGATTTAGTCTCTTAGTAATTTTGAAGTTTATAATACAGTGTTGTTGACTATAATTACTATGTTGTGCATAAAATTGCCAGAACTTACTTATTTAATTATAAGTACGTACCTTAAATAAAATACCTCCAATTCTCCACCATTTAGCCCCTGAAAACCACCATTCTTTCTGTTTTTACAAAGTTAGTTTCTTTTTTCAGATTCCAAATATAAGTGACATCATAGAGTATTTATTCTTCTCTGTCTTATATCACTTAGCATAATATTTTTAAGGTGCATCCATGGTGTCACAAATGGCAGGGTTTCCTTCTTTCTCATGGCTATATGTAGAAATATTGTTTATATATGTATTATATCATATCTTCTTTATATATTTATTCATTGATGGACACTTAAGTTTTTTGTATAGGGAATATATTTTATTTCTTCTCACCACTCCTCTTTGTGGAAGCCATTTTGCCAGGCCCAAGCCAGACAGAAAGAGCATTTGCTGGTAACCGAATTTTAAAAGAGATTATTTAACTTGGGCAGTGAGTCTATATTGATCTCCATTATCTTTTGAAGTCTACAGATCTGTAAAGGTCCAGAATTAGCAGAATACTCAAAATCTTCCATTTCTCTCATCCCTCTTGTCCAAAGTTTCTAGCTTTCTCTTCCCAAATTTTACATCTTCTTTATGGTCTTAAATTTAAGTCCTGTCATTTAATAAGGTATTTCTAAAACCAACCGACACACACCTTCAAAGGAAAAACTGAATTTTAGAGAAAATACTGCCACCTGCTGAATAAATCATTCATGCAATTGTTTAAAATGAAATGCCTTGTTTCATTCAGAGTGAAAAGGGAAAATAAGATACATACCTAGAGCAGTGAAGAAATTATTTCTGTCTAATAAAAGCCATGCACCAAATCCCATGAGTAAAAGTCCAAGAACCTGCAAAAAAGAGTCAATGTGATTTTTAGTAATTGCCAAAAAATGCATTACATTTTCTAGATAATTTTGAAGAGTCTTACCAAGAAAGCTCCATTAATAAGATTAAGAAAATATTTTAAAATTAATGGTTTGCTTTTCCTCAACATTCTTTTCTTCCTCAGAAACTGATGATTCTGAAAAGATAAGCACAATTTTTACTATACACACTCACCATAGTAACTACTCTAAATAATTGTGTCTACAAATGTCATTTATTTTTACATTTTTCTTCTCTTACAAGTCAGTACAGTTCTTATTCAAATATTTGTGATATAGATGATGTGTATTATCTTTTGCTATAGACATATAATTTGTCCTTAACTTAATCAAAGTACTGGTGTGGTATTTATTTCTCTTGTTCATTTCCTGATAAGATAATTTATGCTCCAACAGCAGAGGTATATTTTAATAGCATGAATGCCATAGGGAAGGATCATTTACAACAGTTAATCTAGCAATGACACAATAGTGTCATTATCTACTAATTAAATAATACTCTAATTACTTTTATTATTGTTTTTATGTTCCTTCTAAGTGCCAGGAGATGGGAACACAAAAATAAATAAATACTAAAACCTGTGGCTAACTGTGAGTCCTATGTTGGGGTTGAGGGACAAGGAATAAAGGGAACTGGAACGTTTCAAAGAAGAGATGAATTTGAGATGATCCTCGTAAAATAGTTAAGACAGTTTGATAAAAATGGGGTAGAGGCAGGGGATTTTCAGGACAAATGGAACACTGTGTTCATAAGCTATATAGTGAGGTGCATTGGGGCACGGGTAAGAGTGGCAAGAGATGAAAGATAAGGCTAAGAAGTAACGACTGTGAAAGATCATGTGTGCTTCGTGAAGAATCTGCCTCTCTTTACTTTTTTCTTTTATTTTTTTTGCCTGATGATCATTTATTTGTCCTAGAGATGAGCACAGCCAGGCAAAATAAAAGCAGAAATTGTGTAACTGGTCATTGGAATAAAAGTCTTGTGCTGCTCACGGATTACACAGTGTAAAAATAGTCATGGAGGCTGTAGACAAAAGCACATAGGAATGTTTTTGATCCATTCAATTAAAAAAAAGCTTAAGTAAGGGTTCAATATTTCAAGGGTAACAACTTCATTAAAATCCACCTACAAAATGAAGCCACAAAAGTGATAAATGGTATATCTCCCAAAGAATGACCAGGTATTTTATCATGCTGTAACTTTAGTGTGAGGCTGTGGGATTTGGGAATCAGCCAGGCCACCTAAAAGTAGAAAAGATGTTTTTATTGCTCAGGTGAAAAAAGCAGTTTTCTCTTATCAGGCCACTCAGTATTTTAAGTGGTCAAAAATCTACAAAATGCTCCAAAAAGTATTTCGACCATCCACCTCAATATCCATAGATTATTCCTGTTTTTGAAAAGGTCGAAGGAGCCAAAGTCCAGTAAAATTGTCCATTTATCTCTATGTAATTTTATCATTTAAATTAAATGAAAAAATTTGTCTCCGAGATTGAATCTGTGCCCTAAAATTATTATTTATTTACTTGCTGCAGCCTGAGCATTTAGAAACCCCTGAAAATAGAGGTTTGTAAGAGAAATCCAGACAAACTTTTCAGTGCTAGATAATGGAGACACCAATAGGCTCCATCAGCTACGTTACCACTTCGTGACTCAAATACAGATGACTCTGTCTTGATCAAATCCATGCCCTCTAAACCTCAGCTGGTGGCAACTAGACTTCATTAGGCTTTTAAGACTTTTATCTATCATTTAAAAAATATTTTTTTCTATTTTAATCAGACACAATAGTTTTAGAAAAAGATGCCTATGACTTTATGAAGGATAACCTGTCCATTGAAAAAATATTGGTGGCCTGGATGAAATCGTCATCAGTGATGAAGCATCCCGCCTAGCTTTCCTCTAACTCTTCCTAACAGTTCAAGTAATGTCTTTGCTCCTCAAAGTGTGGAGGGGCCTGACTTCAGATGTAATGAAGGGAACGTAAGGCAGCTTGTCCTTAAGTTCTTCAAAGTTAATTCTGGCCTGGTGGGATATTCCTCTCTGATAAGGAAATTAAGTGAAGTTTTTGGTGCTCATTTTTCTCCCATGATCTGTAAGGGCAGTATACAAAAAGAAAGAAAGAAAGAAAAGAAAAAAGAAAAGAAAAAATACAATAAGGTAAAATAAAACCCCCAAGAGATCTTGGAAATGGTGCACATATCCTGGGAACCCCAGTCACACAACACCCCATCCTAAACTCAGGGAAGATGGGTCAGAGTTCTGAGTCTCCCAGAGTCCTTCACCAGGAAATTGGATTTCTGTGACCCCAAGTTCCCAGTGCAGGGGGCAGAAGAGTCACTTAGACAACAGAAGGAAGAGACATGCGGTGAAGAGAATTAGTAGTAAACAGAATAAATTCTCTCTCAGTACTGTGTACTTAATACCTATGATAATTCAACCAATGCACAGAATATTCACTTTAACAGAGAGATGAGAGTTTAAAATAATTAGAGGAAAACAGATGCTGAAGGCATTATAATAGTGTCTTGATACCAAAATAACATTAAAATGAGAAACTAATATGATAGGTTCAAGGAATCTGGGGACCCATTTTCTTTGCCGTGTTTCACATTCTTACTGTGACATGGTCTTTTTCTTCTAACAAATTCATCAGCTGACAGAAGCTATCTTTCAGCGCGTCGACGTTGTCCAGTGAGCAGGGCTGCAGTATCCAGTGTTTTCCAAGTGCCAGGAGTTCTAGTCTAAAATATTTTTTGACCTCTTGCACGGAGCGGGCAGCCGGCTTGCGCTGATGCTTGGCCAGGATTAGGAAGGGCGGAGTGCACTACAGCTGGCGCTGCAGAGTAGTGCAGCTCCTTTGAGGCCGTTTCTAAATCACCTGACGACACACTCACACAAAGGTCACCCCATGAGAACCTTGATAGCAGAGACTCCAGTATTTCCGGATACGATCAGCCCCTCCAAATTCTTTGACATTCAGAATGGCGTTCTGGAACGGCACTGCTTTTATACAAAAGCCTGGGGTTGACACAGGTACTCCAGGCTCTCACTGCAGAACTTGGACAGCAGACTGGCCTTGTCAGAGCCCGTGAGCCCTACGCACAACTGGTCATATTTGGTTTGTGCGGGTGGCAGTCCCATGCAGCATGGTGCTCAAAAGCACAGATAATCCATATACAGAAACACATCAGGTGCCAAGAGATCAGTCATCGGGCACATAAAGCATCCGGAACAGCTCCGAACCTGGAAAAAAAGTAGCGTCTTGGGCTGCGAGCGAGCAGCCCTTGCAAAGCCAGCCACCACGAAAACAGTCGAGTGCCACCCTGCCTTTATTTTCTGAAAATAATGGGGAACCATAATTCTGTCATCCATGCTGAAGTCAAATTAGGAAAGAAACCTAAGCCAGGGACAATTTGCAAAGCTAACACACTAGTTCATAAGAAATGGATGTGATCTAAACTGCAAGATGATTTTGAAACAATTCCAGGATATGAAGAATATAATAGGAAGGAGAATTGCTAGCACTGAGGTGTTAGAAAGAGGCCAAGATGAAACTTGAACCCGGGTTTGTAGACCTTAAATATGTAAACGATGGGCACTATCCCATAACCTAAAATGTGCTATTTATATTGATTCTTTTGACCTTCAAAATTTTTGCAAATTCAGCACTAGTATGCTATTACTCCTAGAATTACCAATGAGGAAAGACACTCAGAAAATTAAAATAGCTTGCTTAAAATCGATCACCCGGTTAATATGTGGCAGTACTGAGATTCAAACTCAGAGACATAAACCATATATCAGGGGAACCGATAAGTACTCTCAGTCACCTTCAAAGTACTCTCCATTAGATGCAATATACCTATCAAAACATTTTCTTCCACTGCTCAAAACAGTTTTTGAACTCGGTGATTTTAATGACTTTAGTGCTTTTGCTGGTTTTTGTTTCACTTCTTCCACATTGGCAAAATGTTTCCCTTTGAGGACTTTTTTCATGCAGGGAATTACAAAAACATTGCTTGGGGCTAGATCAGGTGAATAGGGAGGGTGGGGAACAGGGGTCATGCTATTTTTTGTCAAAAACTGCTGAGCACTCACCCTGGTTGGGCAGGTGTGCTTGTAAATCACCCATCATGAAATGGGCAAAAGCACTGAAAAAGAGTCACTAAGCTGAATGCAGACTCTTATAACAATACCAGTTGCTACACTGATACAGAAGGGTTCCTAGAACACTCACCTGGCAAACGAAGCCTGTACTACAATGGGCCTGCCCTTCAGAAGATAATTCTGGTTTTCTGGGGTTCATAAGTCATCTTCTGTAAATGACCATTATAAATAGCACATACCTCAAAGGAGTGTTATGAAAATTAAATGAGATTATCTTTTTAAACCCAGTACCTGGTTAATCTCATTATACCACATTTTAGTATAGAACTACTAAGGTTGTCCAGCAACTATGAGAATTTCTACTAAATGCTGCATCATTAAATAATAATTTCAAATAAATTGATTTATAATCTATAACTATTTCATTGTTGTATTTTGTTCTTTAATTAGTGATGTTAATTAGTGATTGGTAAGTTATATAATTGGTAATTGATATAATTATCAGTTATTTTCAGGGTAAAAATAACATAAGAATACAAGGTGTAGTAATGCTCACCATGGATTAATTAATCTTCAGAAGACCTTTTAATATTTTTATTTTTTGTCCTCAATTTGTCAAGGAAAGCTTTTTTTAAAAAAGATTTTATTTATTTATTTTTAGAGAGAGGGGAAGGGAAGGAGAAAGAGAGGGAGAGAAATATCAATGTGTGATTGCCTCTTGTGTGCCTGCTACTGGGGGCATTGCCTGCAACCTAGAAATGTGCCCTGACTGGGAATCAAACCAGTGACCCTTTGGTTCAGAGCCGACGATCAATCCACTGAGCTATGCAGGCCAGGGCACAAGGTAAGCTTTAAGAAAGGACGCAATCTAAACATCATCTTCAAATTAGTTGATTACTAAATTAGCTTTTTGTAATTAGTATTAGAATTTAATTGATTACTAATGAATTCTATATATTTTCAGGAAAATTACACATAAAATTAAACTTAAAATTTTCAGACA